GGCCATTGTGGATCCCGACAGGGGCTGAGGGATGCGAACACTGGGGTAAAACGACCCCGAAAACCGAGCCAGAGTGCCACACACGATCTCCGCAAATAATGTACCTTCACATCCCAAATTAAACAACTGGATCTTGAGTTCGGCTACTCCAAGCCGAGAACATTGACGGTGGTAACGGGCTATCTTTGTTATGTGTCGTTTTCAATTTGAAGCTTTGATGTACAAAGAGGAAGCGAGATGGTTCTCTTCATCACGGGGGTACATTCAAAGACCCCCTCCTGCTGTAGCAGCAGACAGGCCTCCCTCACAGCGGCCCCATCGCCACCTACCGTGGGGAGTGTATCTACCGTCACTCACAGGGGTGGATCGCGCCGCGGTTCTAATCCACCTTGTTTAATATGATCAACTCCGCCATATATAATTGGATTTTAATGAATTTCACAAGGGTATAAATACCTTTTGTGCACAATCTTCTTAAGTGTCGAAAACAGAAAAACTCCACGCCAGTGACAACAAAGTGAAAGTTATTGGCACATCCTATGTGTTAATTCTGTAGCTTGGATTCATTTCTTGAAAATATGCAATTGTTGTTTCTAACCCTGCCAAACAGCGTTATTACTGTTAACACTGAATTCTTGTCACGAATTATCATCAGCGACGAGCTTAATCATTATCATATTTAGATATACTCCGAATATTTCGTTTAAAAATTTATTAGAAATGCGTTAGTCATATGACAGTTATACCATTCCCGTGTTAAACAGTATATTGTCATATCGGCTCTGTTATCAACCAACCAATAGGTGGTATATATCAATGTCCTAGTGTTGCCCTATAGTTCATGCTCCAACCTCTGTGTTAAATCTGTATTGATATCAGTGTTAAACCCCATTTCACAGTGTATTGATATTCGATATAATCATGCTGTTGTCCCGATATTTGTTTAAAACAACTAAAACGTATCCCCTATTAAATGCAGAGGGTGTTATTTGCTAGCGGGACATTAGCACTCCGGGACTGTGTAGATCAAAGCAATCGTTCATGACCAGCTCATGGTGTTAAAAGGCCTTCAATACGATTTAGGATTCTTAAACCAACGTTTATCGTTGGATGCTGCTACCCTACTGCTAGTTTAAGCCTATCCCGGGAGGGGGGACACGCAGTGGGATGCTGTACGGGGGGTGAGCGCTAATTTTACTGATTAGCTGTTTAATATTTTGCCAAGCGCTGCAACTGTCGCCTACTGTAGGCCTGATTTAAGACAAGGGCCAGCAAAAGGGGTTCGTAGTGGGTAGCTCGCTGAACAAATACCCCCAAGGCATTGCCAGGCAGAAATAATTCCGCGGTGGAGCCATTCTATAACCTCAACTCACACAAGCACTAGCGGAGGTTTGTTCTTGTAGAGACGCCCTAGGGAACGTTCCGTGGTGTAGGGAGACCCTTTCCCCCTTTTTCTTCAACTGTAGAAAGCTGAGCGAGCAACAATGGTAGTGGCACGACAATCGCGTGTTTGGTTCAAGGCCTAAGCCAATTCAGCTGCTCTCTCTCGCAGAGAGAATCGCAAGGAAATTCTATCTGAGAAACTGCGACAATAGGCGGAGAGAGTGTAAATATGTTATTCTTGGGATTAGCGTTGTGGAAACAGGTCTCGGCTATGAAACGGAGCCAACATGGCCCCTAGGAAAGTGCTGGTCAGTGTTGCATGTTGGTAACTCGAGATGACTGCAAAGAAAAGGCAAATTTGTATTGTGAATTGATGTCCTCGTCAGGAGCCCATTCCGCACGTGACGGCGTTGCATGACACTTTAAAGATCCAGTTGGTAGCCTGTCGTGGGAGGGGAACTCAATAATTGATCGGGAATTGCTGGATAACTGTCTTTATACAAATAGACACCAATAGCTGCTCCGATAAACCCCTTCCTCTCATCCTTAGAAAGGCTTTTGTCTAAGAATCACTTTTATTTGATATTTAAACCTTCCTTCATTACACGGTCAGGTGGGCATCTATGCCAACATGGCACGGTAATACCCGGTTATGGCATACAGGGTTCGTAAACATAGGGAAACTAATTTCCTCTCCCATAAACATTCAATTCAGAGGTATTACAAAAGATTTGGAATCACTGATGCTTCGTGAGCAGACTCGACAGATCCCGGGTACTGGGTCTAGATCAGATATGTTTTGCTTCATCATTGGTCCATTCTGTAGTCATCTCTAATTGTGGACTTCGGTAAGGTCCTGATTGAGGATGGTCTGAACGGGAAGTCAACTGTTTTGTAGCGGGCAATTCAGCAGTTTAACTGTTGAAAGGACCTGTAATTGGCAGTGGTTGTGTGTGAAAGGGCCGGCCTAGATGACACCGGGTAACGGTGTAATGATAGACTTTGGATATTACAATCACCGTTAAACTGTCTCCTCTGGTCTCTTCCCCGTGATAAGCCTGTGAGTCCTGTCTCAGTTTCGTGGTCGTGTTGGCTGGGGACACCTACAGTCGGGGAGACACCAGACAACCTGACTCTGCTGCAACATATTGGGTAACTGCGATGCTTCTACTTGGTCGGACTGTAATTACATTGGGAGAACATTCCTTAACCAAACCGTGAAGTCTGCGCCTGCCCTTTACGTGTAATTAGGAGTCGGTTCATCTTGCACAGTTCCAGAGAGGCAATTTGGCGAACCAGCAGGCTGACGTGTTCTTGTCCCAAGGGTGGAATGAGAGATGGGAAAATTACCCCGAAATTTTCAGTTATCTTGGAATCGGGACATATATCCTCGGATCTATATCCTCGTGTTATAACACATACGCTTGGAGGACAGAGACTATGAAACCCGTACAATCTGAACTACTTGGGTCAGGGGTGTTCTTCTGATTTGGTAGTAGCATTGACGGTCAGCGATAAGAACACTGCCGGGTTCTTTGTCAATGATTCTTTTCTGTTCAGTGTCTTGGGGTGGACGGACAATTGTTGAGGTGCAGAAGTATGGTCAAGATCGGGTGAGAGGGAAAGGGGTGTGGACAAGTAGATGTGGAGGGGGACACGGTGTGTCGAGGAGGGGACGAGAGGGTAGAGCGAGAAAGGAACGGGGGGTCGAAAGATAATAATAGTGGAAAAAAGATGTGAGAATATCAGCTTCCATTGTTACCAAGTTGATATTCGAACAAACGGGCCGGGGATGCCGACACGATTATGGTCAATTGATGTGAGAAGTTTTATAGATGCATTGTCAAGACTTTTATGGACATTTAGATCAAATAGCTTTGGAATAGGTCTTTATATTATATTATTCACAAACGATCATTCATGCTCCGTGTGTCTCCCCAAGCGTGAGACTGGGCAAGTGATCCAGCTCTCGCCAATATACTACACTCACGGATCAGCGTAATCTAGTGATCAGTAATTAAAAAATTCGCTTTGAAAGGTCTACTATGTGTACATGCGGAATGTCGACGAAATGTATTTGGCAGAGTTTTTAATTATTAAAAATTAAACGTTAGAAGAGTGCAGTTAAGGCTGTTTCTGAGGCTTAAAGGTTTGACACTTTGGGTTTGAGAAAACGCTAAACCGAAATAGTTTTGACATTAAATATGTAAAATCCTTAACGTTTGAGACAACAAAAGGAGATAATTAGTCTTCTAAGTACATGTTCAAGAACTGACGTACCTGCACGGATTTATGACACCGGTACCGAGTTTTCGTAAAATGATTTGAACATTTGACATAAGGAACAATGAATCAGCTATATGCCGAGTCCCATCCCATCTGTTTGACGCCATTAAAACACCTGTTGCTACACGGGTAAATTCATGTCAAGAAGGCGATTGCGTTTAATAATTAACTCTTTGCCTAAGAGGGCTCCTCCGCAGTTCTTCCCAGATAAAATTAACATGAGGTTTGGTATTACCCAATCCGGGGAGTCAATTTCAGTCGACTACAGCACCTGGCTGTTGCTTTGTCACGAGAGTTATGCGGTGCTCTGCTAGTTACACACCAATTACAACAACGTTTCCAAAGACTGTGACGTCGAGTGGACAGTCCTGAGTACCTGGATAACGCCACTACAGGGGCTTATTTTCTCAGGGATCATGCTGTTTTTCTTTAATTTTGTTTCATTTGTTTGACCGACTCTTCTTCTACCTAGACGCGGGTCGCATTTCTAGCGGGACCCAGCACGCCTCTGTCGATTTTACCCCTGCCCCGTCTCTCTCCATAGGTTCCTTAGATCAACATCAAAAATCAATTGTATTTGTTTTAGTAATTCGTTAAATCATATCTTCCTTGTGTAAATACATCTTGTTGATACATGAAACCGACATGGTTAGAGTCGCCAAGTATTATGGATTATGTACGGTTCGACGAAATGGACATCACGCATGGTTTTAATTTGTGTGGATTTCCTCCATGTGTGTTGTACATTTGTTTCTCTGTCATCCACATACAAAATATTATGACATTAACAAAATATGATTTTTAGCATTTCGAACAAGTATGGATTTTCTGACTTCATGTGTAGCACTTTCCGAGGCTGATTTAACCCACCAATCAAATTAAATGTATTTGTTTAGGGATATTGCGTTAACGATCTAAACGTTATATTATTCAGTCATGCAGAATTTTACTTACGCGTTCCTTGAATGCGTTTACATGATGGAAAATTATCATTGAGTAATTTTCATCGTAAAAAAATATATCAATACTTTAACCTTGCATAGTAATCATAACATTTTCATTTGTATTTTCGGAGGCATTAATAATATTCATTGAGAGATTTGCAATATTCCTTTATAAAAATCTGAATATGTATTTATATATACATAAATCTCAAATTAATATATGTGTTCTTTTATGAAAACTATAATTTCTCGGTAAGATACTAATGCATTTACATATACGTTTATATATATATGTATATATATTTTGAACTAAAGATCACATGTAGGTGTCTCTGTTAGAAGTAATATACATAGACAAAGAGACTAATTTGTTGTGGTTTTTTTCAGGTTTGGTTCCAGAACCGTCGGTCAAAGGAACGGCGCATGAAACAGTTGAGCGCCCTGGGTGCAAGGCGGCATTTCTTCCGTAACCCACGGCGGATGCGTCTACGTCCCGGCGAGGACATGGCAGACAGCCCGGATATGCTGGGGGCCCCGGGATTCGGCTACATGTCAGGTAGGCACCCAGCGGACCCTATGGATAATTACATGTACCTCGACCACCCCGAGTACGTCCAGCCCGACTTCGACCCCATGGAATACAGTCATAATGACTATAACGAATATTCCAACCATTCCGAAATGGTTTGGAATCAGGGGGGATTTGGGGGGTACGGTGGGTACCCGGATGAAACCTATGTGATGTGATGCGTGACTGCTGCATGGACTACCCGACTGGGACGCAGTTGTTTTTTCACATTGCATTTTTACCTGACATTCTGTGAAATGTTTACGTCGGAAGAAATTATCAGGATGGTGCCCAGTTTATGTTTTAGCATAATGTCTCAGTGCATATCTGTGTCCAACTTAACGTGCTGTACATATTACTTCTGTGTATTTATGAATTTGTCCATATGTTGTATATTGTGAAATGTTGCCGAGAACTATGGAAATATCGCTGACACAGGGGAACCTGTTGAAAACACTGATATTTGCGATATTGAAAAATTGCATATTGTGAAAGCTGTTGTTACCTACAAAAAATGGATTAACTCTGCATTGGCAATAAAAATATATATGAGGAATATATGACTATTGTTCACATTTATTTTAATTCTCTTGAGTTAAATTCACATAGACATTCACATGGATTTGAAAGGAGTTTCAGACTAACAGTACTATTGCAAATTTGTGAGCATTGTTGATGCGTTTTAAATAAATTCCATGGATCTCGAATTTGGGATATGTGATTACTGATACACTTCTGACAAAAAACCCAAACGATTACAACTTTTAAAACACGGAACGAAATATATTTTCGTTAAAAACGTGTTGATTTTAATGACCTTTTCCTGAAATGTCTTACATACGATATTTCGTTAAGAGAAACTGTTGTTTTGACGATACCAAGTATCAAGGTGTAACGTTCAAAATTACATCATAATTACATTATATAGGTATGGTCTTATTTACCACGGATTGGAAATACACAAGTTTATGTTCAATTGCTGCACCTGGTTGTCTACAAGCTGTATGGGGGATGGTTTGGGATTTTACATTGTTCTAATTTCAACGAAATTATTGAAATGTTTACGTAATGTCCCTACTAGTAAGCGGCTCGAGAGTATCTCGGGAGAATCAGCAAACATGTCGGCGGGATGTGTAACCGAAGCAGTCGGCTATGTAACAAGCAATGTTTATGACGGTATTATTCATATTTTGTGACTGTTTAAAATTTATTATCAGGGAATATGTTGAGAGGAGGGAATTAAACTGCACTTATCACAGGTTTTCTCCGGGGTGGGCTCCACGAACGATGCACCCCCAATTGAGCGGAAGTGGCTTCAAAGAAACTATTCAAAATAACACCCATTATAATTTCATTAACTTCTAATGAAAACTTTTAAGCCAAGTTTATTGCAAATGCAAAGTTTGTACCCTATCTTTTCCTTTTTTTGACGTGTGATTGGTCACGTGCGTCTTTCAGCCGACTTGGTTTTACTGCCGGATAAAAGGAGTTACTTCAGAATTGTTTTGATTGAAAATTTGCATATATCTGTCTTTTGATTTTTAAATATTTTTCCAAAATATTAATCAAGCTTGGCTGCATCTGTTCGATGGGGCAAATGACAAATTTATGATTCTTTAGAGAAAGTTTTGACTTTTCGTAGTAACTTATATCTTAGCATTCTCCTAAAATACATCAGAATGACAGAGCCATACACACTTATTTTTCGCGCAAAAGAGCGCAACAAAACCACATTTATCAATGCAAGACCGGGGCAGATGATACACGCAAAAATAACAATAATTAATAAGCAATATCAGCTGATCTGTCATGTATGACAGTTAATGTTAGCTCTGATTAATAAGTAACACCGTTGCTTAGTAACGAATTATTATTCGCTAAAGAAATATTTATTAGAAAAACACTGGATCTAGTCGCAATCACATGCTCTGTAACAGATGTACACAAACATTTTATTTCCAAACGTATAATTAATTATTCAGGTAACAATAGTGTACTTACGACTATAGGTCGAGTGGTTACGATAGCAACAATTAATTCATATTCTAGATTTAGAGACACGTGTGCTGTGCAGGAAAAGTACATCCTTCAAACTGAAACAAATAACGACTGCCGTCTTATATTCCAATTTTTCTTTTTCCCCCTTTTTATGAAACATTTACACTTTTAATTTCTAGGTAAAACATATAGGACAACACAATTCATTTGAGTAGAGCTCAAATTGCAACTAAATACATTCAAGGCCGATGCTTGTTCTCGTACAAGTGATATAGAGTAACTTACTGTTTTGAAGTAGTTTTCTCCTGGTCAGGACTATGGTTAGTGTCGAAGATTATGATTTTGTCTGACATATTATGACATTATATGCTAATGTCACTTTTACAAATCAAATATGCCTTTGCAAGCAATAAATACGTTTGATTAAAAATTCATGATAACCTTTCCAGATTGTTTTCTGTTTGTGGTGATGCCGTAAGCGATTTGTAAAAAAACAGAAGTTTTCCTAACGCCTAGCGGAAATGTGAATTATTAATACGTGTTGTGTAAAAACAACGCATTGCTGTAGAGAGATTCGGTCACTGACTGTAGTCGGTCCGCCCGACTGTGGTATGATAATTCTTATGTTATCATTTTATTTGTTTTTTTTACGGAAGTTATGTTTTTTTCAAACGTTTCTTCAATTTTTATTCTTTTAGAGAAACTTACAAAAAATATACCATTTCGAAATAAATACAAAATTCATGGTAAAGTATGGATTTTGACGTAATCCAGATTAACCAGCCCGGCGATTGAGGCACAGTTCACACATGAACGTATTTAATATATACAAAAGAACAAAGAGGTTTCAACACGGAATATATACGTTAACTGGAAATGGAAAAAATGTGCTTTTGAAAGAATATATAAGTCTTTCCTAAATGAAACTGAAAATCTGTAAAGTTGTATAAGCGGAGACACATCACTCCGTAGACAATGCTAGTCTGACAACTCATGTTGGGTGCACAGGGTTTCTGACAGCGTTAAAAAATATAAAAATTAATATCTTATAAGCAAACCGACATCGATATAATTTCGATACATTTCCATAGACTGATGAGTTACTGCAGGAGAATAGACAGGTTTTGAGCATACCGGGTTCATTGCTTTCTGTTATCGGCAATTATCGTTCAGGGATGACAATGCGAGAGGGTACATCGTCCTTACAAATCTCTATCAATACGAACAAGCATCAGGCTGAGAGGGCGGTCTTGGGGTCGCCCCTCAGCACATTGACGATATTAAAGGGACAGGGGTCTCAAGACTAACCGCGAATTTCTGAGGGGATTCCGCCGCGTAGGGACAAAGGATAGGCGTTGGATTTAGGATCCGATGCTTAGTCTAGTATATATGATACAATTTTGTGTTTAGTTTGTAAGCTGATTTCAGTGTTTTCCTTATTGTCCACAGTAAGAGCGTTCAGCGTCTTCAATATACGGCCTACACAACCATCCCTGCTTTGTAAGGGTTTTACAATGGCGGCATTGTAGGGTAGTTTGGTTCTTGCTTAGATTGCGCCAAGGCGCTAAGACTTCCATACCACCTTTGGGGCGGAACAAAGGTTAGTGTGCGGGAGGGGGGCCTAGGCGTTCTGACCCTCCCAAGGGAGGGGGAGAGAGAGAAGACATTTGGTTTGTACCCCACATACAGGTGCGTGCTAGTGGCAAGAGCGGGCGTTCGTCTTTTGAAAACATCTCAATGTGGTCTAGTTGTCGCCCAGCATGCAATGGACGATTCAACCCACCATTTTATCAAGCACATATTCTTCGGCGCATTTCGCCAGCGCCATGCAGGGAGCTGTTGTTATTCTCGCCAACTTTCTTCACGGTAAAATTTCAAAACCGAAAAAATCGTCACCACACAACAAAAGCAGCAAGGCAATATTGACAAGCCGGCTCCAGCTGATTGTGACAAGACCTGCTTCCATTCCTCTGGGCTTAATGATCAGTTATCGATCTCCCTCCAACGTAATTATTTTCAATTGTATCCAAACCCAGGTGTTCTGTGATCTCGGCGTTTTAAATATGAATTGTAAACAAGATTTAGTAAATAACGTCATCATCAGGTGGTGAGCGGGTGTTAACAAATAACCTTGGCTACATTACGGTACCGCTGCGACTTCAACACAAAACACAGTGATACAAGAGCATGTTCCCATACCTGTAACACGGGATCATACTGTAACACGGGAGGGATCATACTGTAACACGGGATCATACTGTAACACGGGATCATACGGGATCATACTGTAACACGGGATCATACTGTCAACACTGTAACACGGGATCATACTGTAACACGGGATCATACTGTAACACGGGATCATACGTAACACGGGATCATACTGTAACACGGGATCACTGGGATCATACACGGGATCATACTGTAACACGGGATCATACGGGATCATACTGTAACACGGAATCATACTGTTACGTGTCAACTGCATTAATAACAATAATGAAAATAACAACATTATTTATAATAACATATCTATTTGATTGTACATCCATTATTTTAATTTTTAAGACGAAAACCTGGCCTAATTTGTTCTCAAAGAATCATTTCAGATGCTACATGACTTTTATCAAATTCATATATACAGACACTGAAATATACCAGTTTCTCAAATATTTCTCAGATATATTGTAATAGTACATATACAGATAACATACAAACATACATTCGCGTGTTCATATGTATGATATACTACGCTAGATTTCTATCAAAACACTTGCAATATGTACACAAGCGGCCTCCATGATAACATCACTATCAACCGACTCAGTCAAGTGGCCCTAACATAACAGCACAGCGCTTCTGTTGATGTGTTTGTTAATACAGTAGATATTCTATCCTTGTAGATTCCCATTTTGCCAGATCAAAGATCATCTGTGCATAAGTACGGATTTTTTCCACCGTGGTAAAGATTGATATGTGTTCCCCTTGTG